ATATTAGAGTCCCTTATGTAGATTGGATTAATACTATTTCGATGAAAAACTTAAGGAATAGTAGTAATTGTTACCACTTGTTGAGAGATTGCTAAATGCTTTCCTTCTTTTCATCCTCAAGGCAGCTGTATGAAGGAAGTTCTATTGTTATTCACGATGAAACTGGGCACAGAGAATTACTTCTGTAGAGCCCAAAAGTCTGCAAATACTTGATTCTGGATTAAAACCCTGTGGATTTTCCAGTGAGCTATGTTGCTTTAAATCCTGTTAAATTCCGATCTTTTACTGGATTACATAGTCCGCTAGTACCCTAATCACTATTTGTTTCTATCATTAAAAAAAAAAAAAGATTTTTGTGCACCTTCGATGTGCCAAGCCCTGTTCTAAGAGCTGGGGCTGCTACAGGAAAAAAGTCCCCACCCTCAAGGGGTTTACTTCCTACTGAGGAGAAGGCCGAACACGGCCAGGAGCTGTGTGCGCCAGTGCGGGATAGAATAGGGTTCGGGGGTGCGCACGCCTCCTTTCTGGAGTGGTTTCGAAGCCGCTGTCTTTCCCCAGGTGGCCCGGTGAGGAAGTGAGCAAACGAACTGGCAGTGCAGACAGAAAAACCCGAGTCCCTCCCAGTCGTGCAGGCAGCAGGGGCTCTGCTCCAGGACGCCCACCTTTCACATAAACCGCCCGGTTTAGACCTCTCACCCCTTGCTTTTTTCATCTGATATTTTGTAGTTAGGGAGCTGCAGCGCACGCTTCTCTCCTAGCTTCGTACGTTAGCGTAAACTGTGTTCCTCGCTCTGCAGTCGCCACATCTAGGGGGTGCGTGCGCTTCACCACGGAGTCCCACCCACCTTGCGCCCCCTAGCCCCTGGTTGAGCCCGGCTAGCTCTGGGAGAGCGACGGAGGCGTGGCCCGCCCGCCCAGACGCCATCAGGCCCCGCCCTCAGTACGTCACCAGGCCCGTCCCACTTGCCTGGCCCCGCCCACAGGCGTCCGATTCCGAGCCATCGGCCCCGCCTACCCACCCACGAGTTGCGTGTCGTCCAGCCCTGCTCCGGCCTTACCTGCACATCGCTCCGCCCCGCCGCTTCACGTCTCGCCTACCAGTCCTCTAGGCACTGGTCCTCTCGTCCGTCCCGTAGACCCCTGTGTCTCCCCGCGTGCACGTCGCCTCACGTCCCATCGTGTCGCCCCGCCCCCAAGTCGTCCCACCTCGATTTCCCACTAACGTCGCTCCGCCCACGTCGCCCCGCCCCACGTCCCCCCGCGCCACGTCGCTACGCTAACATCGCCCCGCCCCCGTCGCTCCACGTCGCCCGCCCCCACGTCACGTCGCCCCGCCGACGCCTCCCGCTGATGTCCGGTCGCTGGTCGCTGGTCGCTGGCGGACATGTGGGCGGTTCTCCAAGAACTGTTGGGGGTCCACGCGGGGCTCGTTTTGGGCGGCGCCCGAGGCTTGCATAGCTCGCCGGTCTCTTGCCGCAAGAACCTGCTCAAGAAATTTGCTTCCAAGACTAAGTAATGCTCCCTGAGTGGGGGGGTTTGGGGGGGCGGCCCGGGGGGGTTGGGAGGGCGTCCCGTGGGGACCGAGGTTGCTGGCGCGGGCGGGGGTGCCCCGGAGTTGGGGGCGTGCG